ATTCCTTGACACTCAAGGTATTTAAACTACTATATTTTATTGAGTCTATTCTTCTTTTCTTATGTTTATTATTCAATAACTCTTTTTTAAAAATAGATATTATAAATATATAGAAACAGTATTACATATTATAAAATTAAATTAAACACCAAACTAACATCAAACAATTTTTGGATCCTTTTTAGTTTTCAAATAAATAATAATGAATAAAAATCATTTCATTTCAATAACAATAATTCGTTGTGGTGTGAAACGTTCTGGATGTTGTTTTCCACAAAGTGCATTTGATATTCCTTTATATTCAAATGTGTTTTGGTTACAATAACTCAGTGTTTTATTATTTTCTTTATAAACACGAATATCAACCATAAATCCATATCCAAGTGAGAATAGAACATCACTTGTTATTTGACCTGTATAAAATGCATATTGTGGATTTTTAATATCAAATTTCTTCATTCCTTCTATTCTTCCTTTTGATTTTAATGAAAATACAAATGATTTTGGATCATTTATACAACCAACTTTATCAATTTTCTTATTAACATATCCTCCAAATTTATTTCCATCTTCATCTTCAATAATAATTATTATATGTTCTTTATTCATTATTCTTTGATCAAATACTGATGTACCTTTATTCCAATCATCAATGTCTGAATCAAATATTATATTGGATACTTTTCTATTTGTCCATTCTTCTAGTTGTTGAATTTCTTCAATGATTAGTAGATTTTTTATTTTAACTGTTCTTTTCTCTTTAGAAAGAGATTTATCCTTATTACTAAGAATATTCCATGTTTGTGTGTCCCTTTCTTCATAAATGTTGTTCTGTATTTTCCCTGTGTATTCATTTATTTCACTTATTTTCGAATTATCAACCCAAAGACTTATGTGTTTCTTCATAATTTCAAATTCTTCATCTAAATGTTTTATTCTTTTATCTCTTTCTTCGAAATATTTTATGAATTTATCTGTTTCTTCAAAACGTTTTATTGTCTTATTTCTTTCTTCGTCTGAATGATTTAGTTTTTTCTC